TGTGTGTGTGTGTGTGTGTGTGTGTGTGTGTGTGTGTGTGTGTGTGTGTGTGTGTGTGTGTGTGTGTGTGTGCGTGCGTGCGTGTGTGCGTGCGTGCGTGCGTGCGTGCGTGCGTGCGTGCGTGCGTGCGTGCGTGCGTGTGTGTGTGTGTGTGTGTGTGTGTGTGTGTGCTTCCTCCGCGCCCGAGACTCGGTGGGCCTGGCTTTGTGCCCGCACGCAGCGGAGGCAAAGGTCAGCGGGCAACGCTCAGGAGGATCGGGGGCCGCGCGCCCACGTGGCGCGCAGCGGCGGATGCCGCGGCGGCGGAGGCATTTCGTGGACCAGAAGTCGCAGACGGACCACCTGCTGAGGCCTGGCCTTTGCTGGGGCTGGACGCGCGCATATGAGCGGAGGAGGGAGGCGGGTGGCGGGTGGCGGGAGGAGGGAGGAAGGAGGAGGGAGGAGGGAGGAGGGAGGAGGAGGGAGGAGGGAGGAGGGAGGAGGGAGGAGGAGGAGGGAGGAGGGGGGAGGGAGGGAGGGAGGGAGGGAGGGAGGGAGGGAGGGAGGAGGAGGAGGAGGAGGAGGAGGAGGATGAGGAGGAGGAGGTGGAGGAGGATGAAGGATGATGAGCAGGAGGAGGAGGCGGAGGAGGAGGAGGAGGGTCAGGGTGCTGGGGTGCGGATTAGGATGGTAAAGTCAGCGTGTTAGGAACAATATTGTTATCGTATGGTCTGAGCTTTGGGCGTTAGGGTCAGGGGTAATGTTGAGGGTTAGCCTACCAGAGCTAGCTAGCTAGGGTGCTAGGATCGGTGCGTTGGGGGTTCTGGCGCAAGGGAACTGGCTTTAGAGTAGCACGCCAGGGTAAGGGCGTAAGGCTAGGGTCAGGGTAAAGGTGCTAGGCTAGGGTTAGGGTATTCAGGGTAGGATAATATGGGTTTTCATGCTTAGGGTGTGCGGACTGATGTGGTATGATTGGGGTGATCTGGTCAGGGCCAAGGTGTTAGAGTCAGGCTGATGCGCGGTTGGGTTAGGGCGTGAAGGGTTAGTTAGGTTCCTGTGTTGAGTTTACAGTGTTACGACCAGGCTGAACTTTGCGCAGGTTTGTAGCCTCAGTGTTAGGGGTGAGAGTTAGGGTGTCGGGGTTAGGGCTTGTGCTTAGGATTACGGGGGGAAGGATGTGGGTTAGGGTGACGGTGGTCATGTGTTAGGATGAGGGGTTGTGTGTTTAGGGTTATTTTGCTGGAGTCGAGTCACTTGGGAGAGGGCTAGGATGCCAGATTAGGGTGTTAGGGCAAGGGTGTTCATGCTGTGGTCTTAGGGTCAGTGTTACGGTGCTAGGGTCAGGGGTCAGGGGTAATGTTCAGGGTAGTTTGCTAGAGCTAGCTAGGGTGCTAGGATTGGTGTGTCAAGGGTTAGGGCGCAAGGGAACGGACTAACGATTTAGAGTAGCACGCTAGGGTAAGGGTGTAAGCTAGGGTCAGGGTAAAGGTGCTAGGCTAGGGTTAGGGTATTCAGGTTATGGTGGCATCAGTTTCATGTTTAGGGTATGCGGACTTAAGTGTCATGCTTAGGGTGATACGGTTAGGGCCATCAGAGTCAGGCTGGTGCAGGTCGGATTATGGCGTTAAGGGTTGGTTAGGTTCCGGTGTCAAGTTTACAATGCTACGACCAGGCTCTTTGTTGCGCATATTTGTAGCCTTAGTGCTGGGATGAAAGAATTAGGGTGTAAGAGTTAGAGCTTCTGCTTAGGATTACGGGTAGACGGGTATGGGTTAGGGTGTTAGGGTGACGGTGTTAAGGTGTTGGGGTGAGGGGTATGTGATTAAGGTTAGTGCGTTGAAATCGGGTCACGAGGGAGAGGGCTAGGATGCTGGAGTTAGGGTGTTAGGGCAAGGGTGCTCATGCTGTGGTCTTAGGGTCAGTGTTACGGAGCTAGTGCTAAGGCTAATCCTTAGGGCCAGGTTTTCGGGATAGGGTGTTCGCTTAAGTCGCTTAGGGGTCTAGTGTTTGTGTGTTTGGGATGGGGTTAGTGTGCAGGGTTAGGATGCTTGGTTCAGCGCTGGGGTGTTAGGGTTATGATGTCAGGGTTGGGGTGTTGAGATCCGGGTGCCGAGCCTCGGCGTTAGGGCTTGAGGGTGCCAGAGGTAGGGCGTCGGCGTCAGTGTGGCTGCCTACGTAGGGCTGGAGCGCACGGGTGAGAACCAGGGCGACAGGGTCATCTGGCTCGTGGCGGTCTGCTCTGCGGGGGGAGGGGAGGGAGGCAGAGGAGAAGGAGGCAGAGGAGCACGTGGGAGTTTGATAAGGTGTGGCCGTCCTAGTCTGGGCATTCAGGCGTGTTTCTGCGGGTGCATGTCTAAGCAGCACTCGCCCAAGCGGAACACACGGAGCGCGATGTACATTGGGACGATGAGGAAACGAGGGAGGACGAGTAGGAGGAGAACGGGCAGGGCGGGAGGAGGAATGGAAGCCAGAAGAGGAGAAGGAGGAGCATCCGCATCAGAAGGCGGAGTGGAACTTTCAGGAAGAGAGGGGCAATGGATGAGGAAGCAATGGGAGGATGCGAGAGAGGATAAGGAAGAGGAGAAACGATGGGGAGGAGGAGGAGGGTGATGATAATGAGGAGGAGGAAGAGGAGGAGGATGAGAGAGGACGATGGTGGTGATGGTGATGGTGATGATGATGCTGCTGCGGAGGATGATGACGATGATTATGATGATGATGCTGATGATGGTGCTGATGATGATGATGATGATGATGATGATGATGATGATGATGATGATGATGATAATGATGAACGATGCTGCTGCTGATGTAGATGATGATGCTGATGATGAGTACGACGAGCATGCTTATGATGATGCTGCTGATGATGATGGTGGTGGTCATGGTGGTGGTGGTGGTGGTGATGGTGATGATGATGGTGGTGGCGATGATGATCCCGATGCTGCTGCTGATGATGATAACGATTATGCTGACAATGATGATGATGATGATGAGAATGATGATGATGATGATGCTGATGATGATGACGATGCTGATTATGATGATGATGACGACGATGATGCTGATGATGCTGATGATGATGATGCTGATGATTATGATGACAGTGATGCTGACAGTGCTGATGCTGATGATGATGCTGACGATGATGCTGCTGAGGATGATAATGATAATGATAATGATGATGATGATGATGATGATGATGATGATGATGATGATGATGATGATGATGATGATGATGATGATGATGATGATGCTGCTGCTGCTGCTGATGAGGAGGAGGAGGAGGAGGAGGAGGAGGAGGAGGAGGAGGATGATGATGATGATGATGATGATGATGCGTACGACGATCATGCCGCTGCTGCTGCTGCTGCTGATGATGATGATGATGATGACGATGATGATGAGGGACGATGAGGTGGAGGACGCTGAGTTATGATGATGGTGATGATGAGGAGGAGGAGAAGGAGGAGGAGAGTGCTGGGATGAGCAGGAGGAAGGGCGGTGAGAGCGATTGCGAAAACGAACGGTGAGAAGAGAGTGGGGAGAGAGCGGGGGTGATGAGGGAGGATCTGAGATGGGGTTTAAAGATATTGGGGTGGGATGGCGGGGATGACAACGTACGAGGAGAAGTAGGAAGCAGTGAGCACGATAAAAAATGAATTGAACCGATGCACGCAATACACAATGCACCCAGGGAGAAGATGAGTAAGGTGGGAAGCGGGAAAACGACAACCAGACCTGCAAAGAAATACGCTGAACCCGTCCAGGCCTTTATAGAGGCTGGCGCCGGAGGAGGAGGAGGCTGAGGAGAAGGGGGAGGAGGAGGAGGAGGAGGAGGAGGGGAGGGAGGAGGAGCAGGAGCAGGAGAAGGAGGAAGAGGAGGGGGAGGAGGGAAGAAGGAGGATCTATACATATATATATATATGTATAATACAGAGGGGGGGGAGAGAGAGAGAGAGAGAGAGAGAGAGATAGAGAGAAAGAGAGAGAGGGAGGGAAAGAGAGAGAGACAAGTATTAGAGGCACGATTCGGGAAGGAGGCGGGAGGGAGGAGGGATGATGAAGAAGGGGACGGGGAGAGATTGAGGAGGAGCAGGAGGAGGAAGAGGAGCAGGAGGAGGCGGAGCAGGAGCAGGAGCAGGAGCAGGAGGAGGAGCAGGAGGAGGAGGAGGACGAGGAAAAGGAGCGAAGGCATGGGGTGGGGTGTGATGGAGGAAGAAGACGAAGAGAAGGAGGGAGGAGGGTGATGATGAACGAGGAAGGAGGAGGTGGCATGGACGGAGGGCGGGGGAGGAGAAGAGAGGATGAAGGAGAATTATGAGGAGAAGGAGGAGGAGGAATGAAACACTACAATGGTGATGGCAATGAACATAACGATGGAAGTGAAGGTGATCGTGATGGTGGTGATGGTGACGATGATCGTGGTGGTAATGATCATGATGATGAGGAGGAGGAGGGAGGAGCGAGTGGGAGGAGGGAGGAATGAGGGTAGGGTGTAAAAGGACGTGGAAGATGGAGGATGGGTGTTGATGATGTGGGTGGTGTGACCATGGCGATGATGATGCTGGTTGTGGTCGTGATGATGATGACGATGGTGATGATGGTGGTGGTGGTATTGATGATGATGATGATGATGATGATGCAGATGCTGACGATGGTGATGCTGATGATAGTGATGATGATGGAGCTGCTGATTATGATAATGATGATGGTGATGATGCTGATGCTGATGCTGATGCTGATGATGATGATGATGATGATGCTGATGCTGATGCTGCTGCCGAGGATGATGCTGATGACGATGCCGCTGCTGATGATGATGCTGATGCTGATGCTGACGCTGATGCTGATACTGCTGCTGATGATGCTGATGATGATGACGATAATGCTGATGACTATGATGATGATTCGGAATATGATGATGATGGTGATGATGATGATGATGATGATGAGGATGAGGATGAGGATGATGATGATGATGATGATGATGATGATGATGATGATGATGGGGAGGAGGAGGAGCAGCAGGAGTAGAACGAGGAGTCCACGCGAGGTTAACGAGCGTGATCAGCGACCACATAGCGGCCGCCGTGCCAGAGGACGGCCCCCCTCGCTTCCCCGCAGCCCCTGCGTGGTTCAGGGGAAACAGAGCGAGAGAAAGAGAGAGAGAGAGAGAGAGAGAGCGATAAAGAGAGAGAGAGAGAGCAATCAGTAGACATAGACGGAGCGAGGTATGAATATACCTGGGCCAGCACGGGAACGGAAAGAGCGCCGCAGGAACTGGCCCGAGATGACTCATGGCACCTTTCGCTCTTTGGAGCCTCGGCGTTCAGAGCTTGTCCTGGTGTTCAGAGACTTCTACGTTGCCGCTCGCTCTTGGGCGCCTTGCTGTTGAGCACCTTTTACGTCACCGCGCTCTGGGGAGCCTTGTTGCTCAGTGCTTGTTACGTCACTGTTCGCCGTTTGGAGCCACGGTGCTCCTTGGCGTCTCTGGGGCTTCTTCGCAGTCTTCTGGGGGCCCTCTTGAGGGCCGTTTTGGGACTCTTGGGCCGTCTTGGGGCCAGCCCAGTCCCCACACCCAAGCATCCCAGTCCCCACACCGCCTCTTCGGGCCCTCTTGGGAGCCTCTTGGGGCCCTGTGGCTCTCTTGGGGCCCTCTTGGGGCCTTCTTGGGCCGTCTGGGGGCTCTCTTGGGCCGGCTTGGGACCAGCCCAGACGCCACACCCCAGCAGCCCAGTCCCTACACCGCCTCTTCGGGCTCTCTTGGAGGCTTCGTGGGGCCCTCTTGGGCCTTCTTGAGGCCCTCTTGGGCCGTCTCGGAGCCCTCTTGAACCTTTCGGCCCCTTCGGGGGCCTCTGGGACAGTCTTGCGACGATCTTGAGGGCCTCTTGGGCCGTCTTGGGCACTTCTGGGCCCGAAAAGGCGAGAACCCGAAAAACCTTTACAAACCAACGGATAACCAATGTTTTTAGCCTCCCGAGGCCCTCTCGGGGGCCCTCTGGAGGGCCTCTGGAGCTGTCTTGAGGCTCTCTCGGGCCCGTCTGGAGGCCATCTGAGGCGCTCTTGGGGCCGTCTTTGGGCCGTTTGGGGGCCCTCCTGGGACGTCTTGGGCCCTTGAGCCGCCTCCCTCGACAAAAATTAGGACACGGGCCATGGAAGGCGCCCCGGAGCCGCTTCACTCGCAAAAAAACCAGGGACGCGGCCCCTGGGCGGCCATGTCACCCATGGTCACTCCCTTCGCCCCTCCCCTGGACCCCTCCCTGGAGGGCTTCGCCTCAACTCAACGTACATCACTCGTACCTCGCTCTTCCTGTCAATGGAGAGAGAGAGAGAGAGAGATTGGGGCAGGTGGGGAGATGGATGATGCTGCTGCTGCTGAGGATGATGGTGGTGGTGGTGGTGCTGATGCTGCTGCTGCTGCTGCTGCTGATGATGATTCTGCTGATGATGATGCTGATGCTGCTGACGATGATGCTGATGCTGCTGACGATGCTGATGCCATGGTGATGATGCGCTGATAATGCCGATGATGATGGTGATGATGGTGATGATGATGATGATGCTGACGATGCCGACGATGATGATGATGATGATGATGATGATGATGATGATGATGATGCTGATGCTGATGATGATGATGCTGATGATGATAATGATGATGATGCTGATGATGCTGATGATGCTGATGATGAGGATGCTGCTGAAAATGAGGATGATGATGAGGATGATGGTGATGATGACGATGTTGATGCTGATGACGATGCTGATTTTGCTGCTGTTGCTGTTGTTGTTGATGATGCTGCTGATGATGATGATGATGACGATGATGATGTTGCTGACGCTGATACTGCTGCTGCTGATGATGTTGATGGTGATGACGACGACGACGTTCATGATGATGCTGATGATGCTGGTGGTGATGATGATGATGATGATCACGATGATGATGATGATGCTGATGCTGCTGATGATGATGGTGAGGATTGTAGTGATCAGGATTATGCTGTGATGATGATGATGATGATGATGATGATGATGATGATGATGATGATGATGATGATGATGATGATGATGATGATGATGATGATGATGATGATGATGATGATGATGATGATGATGATGATGATGATGATGATGATGATGATGATGATGATGATGATGATGATGATGATGATGATGATGATGATGATGATGATGATGATGATGATGATGATGATGATGATGATGATGATGATGCTGATGATGATGATGATGATGATGATGATGATGATGCTGCAGATGACGAGGCTGCGGCGGCTGCTGCTGCGGCTGCTGCTGCTGCTGATGATGATGATGATGATGATGATGATGATGATGATGATGATGATGATGATGATGATGATGATGGTGATGATTACGCTGCTGATGATTACGATGACGACGACGATAACGACGCTGCTGCTGCTGATGATGCTGAGAAGGAGGAGGAGGAGAAGGAGGAGGAGGAGGAGGAGGAGGAGGAGGGGGGGAGGTGGTGGGAGGGCAAGCCAGGTTCGCTCGCGTCATATCAGACGTTCTACCCCTCCCTCCCACCCCTTACCATGGCGTAGATCTTTCCTCTATTTGCAAAATCGGATGTCGTAGCATGGCGTAGCATTACATGGCATAGCATAGTCTTGAAGATCAACGCGTAGCATGACATAGCATGGCGTGGCGACGTCCCAAAGTGGGTGGGCTTCTGCGACCCGAAAAATCATCGAATCGACACCGAATGTGTAATCACTTCCGATAGTTTCTTCTGGAGGCCATTTTCTAGATTTTGGAGCCTATGTGGAAGGACCGAAACTATGCCGTGGCATGGCACTGGCAATAATGACGCCAGCGCTGCCGCGGGAGTACGATTCGGAACGAGAGGAAGCGCGGAAATGAGGCCAGCGCTGCAGCGGGAGCACGATTCGGAGGACGCGGAACCTGACATAGCATGGCGTGGCGACGCCCCAAAGTGGGGCAAGGGCTTCTGCGACCCAACAAATCAACGAATCGATACCGAATGTGTAATCACTTCCGATGGTTTTTTCGGGGGGCCATTTTCTAGATTTTGGAGCCTATGTGGAAGGACCCAAAACCATGCCGTGGCATGGCGCTGGAACTGATGACGCCCGCGCTGCAGCGGGAGCACGATTCGGATCGAGCGGAAGCGCGGAAATGAGGCCAGCTCTGCAGCGGGAGCACGATTCGGAGCGAGCGGTGGCTCGCCCGCGCGCCATGCGTACGGCTTGCCTCTCTTCTCCCCCATTCCCCTCTTCCCTTCCCGCTCTCTGCCCCTGCTCCTGGGCCTCCCCCCCCCTGTCCCTCGCTTGCGCTTCTTCCTCCTCCCCTCTGCTTCTCGCCCTCTGTGCTCCCCTCTTTGCCGCTCCCTCGCCCTCTCTGCTCCCCTCCGGTCCGCTCTGCCTCTCGCACTCTCTGCCCTCCCCCCCCCCGCGCGCAGGACGACAGGCTCTGGAAGGAGGTGGCGCACCTGGACAGGCGCATGTCCAGGCGCGCCGCCCCTCGTCCGTGGTGGTGGTGGTGGTGGTGGTGGTGGTCGTGAACGTGTAGGTGATCGTTGTGGTGGTGATGCTGGTGATGGTGGTGGTGACGACGACGACGACGGTGGTGGTGGTGATGATGGTGATTGTGATGCAGCGGTGGTTGTTGTTGTTGTTGTTGTTGTTGTTGTTGTTGTTGTTGTTGTTGTTGTTGTCGTTGTTGTCGTTGTTGTTGTTGTTGTTGTTGTCGTTGTTGTCTTTGTTGTCGTTGTTGTCGTTGTTGTTGTTGTTGTTGTTGTTGTTGTTGTTGTTGTTGTTGTTGTTGTTGTTGTTGTTGTTGTGTGTGTTGTTGTTGTTGTTGTTGTGATTGTTGTTGTTATTGTTGTTGTCGTTGGTGTACTTGTTGGTGATGAGGATAATGATGACGATGATGACGATGAAACTGATGACGATGATGCTGCTGCTGATGATGATGGTGATGCAGCTGTTGTTGATTGATGTTGGCGATGCTGATTCTCATGATGATGGTGGTGGTGATGATGATGTCGATGATGACGATGATGAACAGGGTGCTGCTGCTGATGATGATGGTGGTGCTGGTGGTGGTGGTAGTGTTGATGATGCCTCTGGTGATGGTGATGCTGCTGCTGCTGCTGATGATGATGATGATGTTGATGACGATGCTGACCATGCTGCTGATGTTGATGATGCTGATGCTGATAATGATGATGACGATGATGATGGTGATACTGATGGGGATGATGATGCGGATGATTATTAGGCCGTTGCTGCTGATGATGCTGCTGATGATGATGACGATGCTGATGCTGATGATGATAACGATGATGATGACGATGATGATGATGATGATGATGATAATAATGATGATGATGATGATGATGCCGATGCCGATGCTGATGATGATGATGATGCTGATGATGATGATGATGATGAGGATGATGAGGATGAGGATGAGGATGAGAATGAGGATGAGGATGATGATGATGATGATGATGATGATGATGATGATGATGATGATGCTGATGATGATGATGATGATGATGATGATGATGATGATGATGATGGTGATGATGGTGATGGTGCTTTATACGCAGTATGCGCTCCCCTCTCCCTTTGCCTCCCTGCTCGCAGGCATCTCTGCCCGAGTGTTTCTCTTCGCTCAGGGGGGTTTAGCGGTCACTCTCCTGTCTCAAAGGGAATAGCAGTGCGATGGCCTGGAGCCTCCTCCGTGTGCCGCAGCCTGGTCCACGGCTGCCCTGGGAGCAGGGTATTTGGAGCGGCCCGCCAGGGTTGCCGAGCGTTGCGCGGCCGCAGGTGCCTCCTCTGGTTCATGCCCAGCCTGTTCCACCAGACCATCATCTGAACGCAGATGCGCCCGTCGAGATAGAAGCAAGGGACGGACCAGCCACCGCCGCAGCCACGGTGAGGAGGGCTTCAGGGCCCCCTCCCGGGGTGGCGGAGGTAGCGGAAAGAGAGAGAGAGAGAGAGAGAGAGAGCATGCCTTGAACAAGTGGGCTTTGCTACTGAGCAGTGTCCGCAGCTCAGGGGCCCTGGTAGTTAGACCAGGCGAGAGCCTCAGGCTGCTCGCCCGCGACACGCTGGAGACGAGGGCCACGGCGACGCTGCAGAACCGCGCGGGGTCTCTTCTGCTGTTCGCGGAGTGGGCGGTTAGTCAGCAGGTGGACGCCTTCCCGCTGTCGGAGGAGACCGTCCAGGAGTACCTGAGGGTTCAGTGGCAGTATCTGCCAGCCGGGGATCATCCTTATTGGAGGCTCTGACGTTTCTGGGCTATTTCTTCAATGTTGAAGTCGACCACGTCCTCGCACCTCGGTCCAGGGGATTGGCGTTAAGAGGCCTGAAGCGTCGGAGGGAGACGGTCAAGGTTCCGCCCCTCCCTGTCGTCTTCGTGTTGCGGCTCGAGGCCGAGGTCTCAGAGCAGCGGAACGCAGTCAGTTCGGGCATCCCTTCTGCAGAGCAGTGGTTGCAGGCTTTCTGCTGTGGCTTACGCACTCCCGTACTCGGTGCAAGGATTCGGCGAGGGTTAGCCATGAGCCGGCGCTGCATGAGGGCTCGGAAGGGCACGGCTTTATCGAGGCAAGGGCCTTTCTCGGCCAGCACAAAACGGGCACCCAGGCGAAGAAGGCCGGCATGGCCTTGCCGCTCGTCGCTCTTGGGCGCGCTGGGCGAAGGCGTGGCTTAGCCTACGGAGGCATGCTGGCCTCGCGGCGGAGAAAGACGGCTGCCTCCAGCCCGAAATCCTCATGGATGGCATTTTCGGCCGCGGCCGGATGACTACAGGGGCGGCGTCTTCTTGGATGTGGACCGTTATCAGCGACGCAGCGTTGGACACGGTGGTGCCCAATAGTTTCAGTTCCAGGTCATCAAGAGCCACTGTTTTATCTTGGGCTGCTAAGGCTGGATTGTCAGTCGAGTCCCGCAGGCTGATAGGCGGACACCGCGACCCGAACGCGAAGAGCGCTCTGGAGTATTCCAGGGATGCTCTTGCAGGGCCGCTGCGCGAGCTTCGCGGAGTCATCGAGCTGATTGGGAGGAAGGAGTTCGACCCAGACGCGACCAGGTCAGGCAGATGGAAGCAGGCAGCGCCAGCGCCAAGCGGAGGCTCAATTTGCCTGTCCAGCCTGGTCATGCCCTCAGAGTGCGCAGCGTGCTCGGCGAAGGTGCATCCTAAACCGCCGTGCCTCGCCGATTGCGAGAAGTGCGCCATGCTGCTGTGCCTGCAGTGCCGGCCAGCCGACAGGCGCCCGTGCGTTTCGGCGGGGGAGGAAGGCGAGTCCAGTGGCGACGCGGTTTTCCCTGAAGTTTCCGAGCTTGAGAAGTCGGACTCGGACGTGGAGGGCGACGAAGCCGCCGCGGTGGTCACAGCCGTGGCACGAGCGGAAGGCGAGTTGCCTTCGTTCCCGGAGCACGGGGTCTAGCGGCACGTCCGGGTCACAGGGCCAAGGCCAGAAGCGATGACGCCACAGCATGCGGTTTCGTTTTCGCCATGGGCATGGCCGAGCGCTGGCGTGAGGGGTGGCGGCCCGCGGCCGAGTGGTTCTTTTGCTGGAGGAGCCATTGCTTTAGGTCGAGCGGGTAGACGGTGCAACGGCAATTGTTTGCAAAATGCCACGGCGCGCCACGCCCTTCTCTCGTAAACTCCATGTGGCGGCTGCCGTCGCCCTCGGGCTGGACGGCGCTTCCACTTCAGTTCAGGGAGGCAGGGGCGTAGGGTTGCCAATCGCAGCTGAAGGCGCAGCTGCGATTGAGTGGCAGCGCTGCGCCGCCGTTGTGAGCCCGACGCGGTGGGGGTCGTCGTCCACGGGCTGACGGCACCATTGCAGCGGCGCGCTCGCAGCAGCTCGTGCGTAGGTTGTCGCCGCCTTATGGCTGACGGCACCCCAGTAGCAGTATTACTCCCTCTCCTCTCTCCCTCCTTTCTAACCCCCGGTGTGAGGAGGAGGAGGAGGAGGAGGCGGACGTTGTGGAGGAGACCCATCTCACGCTTGTCGGAAGCAAGGCTGGCTGTGCACAGCCAAGGAAGACGGTGCTCCGCGAACGAAGCTGGCGCCTGAGCTCTCGACCCCGCCCGTGCTGGCGCGATGTCTCCGAGTCTCGGCCGCTGGCGGGTGTGGATTGAGGGCTGGTGCTTTCGCGTGTCGATGCTCTCGACGTATCCCCCCGCCAGAGCGGGGCTTTCGCGAGCTTTCGACCCCGTCCCAGGAGCGGGGGAGCCTTCCTACCCCCTACCCCCTCCTTCCTCCCTCCTCCCTCAGTCTTCGTTTCTGGGCTGTCGCTGTCGATTTCGGAGGGACGGCGCGAGTCCACTTAATAGCCGTTTCCTCTGTGTTGCTGTCGTCACCCTAGGGTTCGACGGCGCTACCGAGGTTAAGCGGTAGGGCCGATAGGAGTTTGTATTCTGGTCGCCATCGGGTTGGACGGCGGTTCAAAGGTAGGTCCGGCTACGCTTGCCGGGGCTCTTGCCTGTCGGGTTGGACGGCGCCTCCGCGTGAGTGCGCGGGGTGCACGTGCTGGCTGTCGTCTCCCTCGGGTTGACAGCGCCTCCACGGTGGCGTGCGCTCTGTGGGTTATGGGGACTGTCGTCGCCTTCGGGCTGGACGGCGCCCCCATGAAAGCACCACTCGGGAGCCGCGACGAGGCCTTGAGAACATTGCAGGTCCGGGGAGAGCGGCGAGGCGAGGCGCGGAGAGTCGCGAGGGGTCCCAGTCCTTGCCACTCCAAGCGGTAACATGGCCAGGGATGCGGCGGCCAGAGGACGCTGACCCCCTGCCCGACAGACCGTGCGCTGGCCCACGGCCGAGGGGGGGAGGAGAAGGAGAAGGAGGAGGAGGAGGAGGAGGAGGAGGAGGAGGAGGAGGAGGAGGAGGAGGAGGAGAGAGAGGAGGAGGAGGAGGAGGAGGAGGAGGAGGACGAGGACGAGGAGGAGGATGAGGAGGATGAGGGGTAGGAGGAGGCGGCGGCGGCGGATGATGAGGAGGAGGAGGAGGCGGCGGCGGAGGAGGAGGAGGAGGCGAAAGAGGAAAGCGGCGTCCACTGCTCATGCATGCCTAGCCCCCCACACAAATCACCGAGGGCATTTTCGCTCCTCGTCATCCTCCTCTCTGGCTACTGCTCTTCCTGCTCCTGCTCCCCCTCCTCAGGCTCGCCAGGGACTGCAAGACCTTCGTCACGGACCCTCCTGCCGCCATAGCAGAGGGCGGGTTGGGGCCAGATGAAAGGGAAACAACTTAGTTTTTAGCATAACAGTTTTTTCATGCTGCTATACAAACGTACCTACAATGTTTTTTTTGGGTGTCGTGGGGGGATGGGAGGAGTAGGAGGAGGAGGGAGGAGGAGGAGGAGGAGGAGGAGGAGGGAGGAGGAGGAGGAGGTGGGGGAGGAGGAGGAGGAGGAGGAGGAGGAGGAGGAGGAGGAGGAGGAGGAGGAGGAGAAACACATTTTTAGACGGGTTCACGGGTACTGAGTTCTGGGAGCTGGGCGGGTGGGGAGGGGCTTGCTGAGTCCCAGCAGGTCCGAGTTCGAGTGTCCACTCGAAAGCTTTACATGGGGTGCGTACTACAAGTTCACGTGATGCTTGTTGTACCGTCCTGACTTCGGACTCCAGCCCTCTGCGGTGCACGCCCAGGCAGAGTCGTTGAGAAGGATGGATGGGCATGGCGAGGACGGATGCTGATGCTGTTGATGATGGCGATGACGATGACGATGAAAATGCTGCTGCTGATATGATGATGATAGTGATGATGATGAGGATGAGGATGATGAGGATGATGATGATGCTGATGACGATGATGCTGATGATATGATGCAGGTGTTGCTGATGATGCTGATGATGATGCTGCTGCTGATGATGATGATGATGGTGATGATGATGATGATGATGATGATGATGATGATGATGATGATGATGATGATGATGATGATATGATCGTTGTTGTTGATGATTTTGATGTTCAATCATGATGCTGGTGCTGATACTGCTGCTGCTGATGATGATGATGGTGATGCTGATGACGATGACGCTGATGCTGATGATGATGCCGATGACGAGAATGATGACGATGCTGTTGATGATGCTGCTGTTGATGATCATGACGATCATGTTGAGACTGATGACGATGCTGCTGATGATGCTGATGATGATACTGATGCTGCTGATGATGGTGCTCATGATGACGATGATACTGATGATGCTGATGCTGATGATGATGCTGATGCTGATGATGGCGATGATGCTGATTATGATGATGGTGCTGCTGACGATGCTGATGTTGATGCTGGTGACGATGATGGTGATGCTGCTGATGATTTTGATGATGCTGATGATGATGCTGCTGATGATGATGATACTGATGCTGATGTTGCTGATGTTGATGATGTTGATGATGCCGACGATGCTGATGATGACGACGATGATGATGACGATGCCGATTCTGATTCTGCTGATGATGATGCTGATGCTGCTCACTATGATGATGATGATGATGATGATGATGATGATGATGATGATGATGATGATTACGATGACGATGATGCTAGTGATGATGCTCATGCTGCTGCTGATGATGATGATGATGGTGATGATGCCAGTGATGATGACGATGATGATGATGATACTGATGATACTGATGATGATGATGATGATGATGATGATGATGATGATGATCATGATGCTGATGGTGCTGATGATGCTGATGATGCTGATGATGATGCGGCTGATGATGATGATGATGATGGTGGTGGTGGTGGTGGTGGTGATGATGATGATGGTGGTGGTGGTGGTGATGATGATGATGATGATGATGATGATGATGTTGACGTTGATGCTGATGCTGATGCTGTTGTTGATGCTGCTGATGATGATGATGAGGAGGAAGTGGAGGAGGAGGAGGAGGAGGATTCGTCATGCGTGCTTTGGCTATTTCCTCTTGAGTCAGGTTTGATGGGAGGTCCAGCAGGTGGAGGAGGGAAGTTTCAGTGAGTCAGGTGTGACGGGGGGGAGGATCAGCGAGTCACGTTGGCAGTGAGTCTCAGTGAGTCTCGGTGGGTCAGGCGTGCGCTGAGTGGCCCAGCAGGTCAGTTTCACGGGGATCTCGTTCCAAGGCGCGGAGGAGGAGGAAGAGGAGGAGGAGGAGGAGGGGGAGGAGGAGGAGGAAAGGAGGATGAGGAGGAGGAGGATGAGGAGGAAAACAGGAGGTTCAGGGGGTGCGTGCAGGACAATTTTGACAAGGTTTCGGTAATACTGCAGCGTTGTGCTCGATTCATGGTGGCTCAAGCTGTTCCGGCTCGAGCCAGGTGGGCATGATGGCTGCGACGTGTTCGTGCCCTCTTGAAATTGTGGAGCATGTGTTTTGGTACTAGCCCACTTCTGATGTTGGCCCTCCCTGTCCCTCTCCCTCCCTCTCTCCCTCTCCCTCTGTCTCTCCTTCCCTCTTCCCTTTTCCTCTTCCCCTTCCCCCCTTCTCCTTATCGCGACTCCCCTCCCGCTCTTCCCTGGCCTCCTCCCCCATCCTGCCTTTCCTCTCCCCTCCGTCATGCTACTTCTCTTCTCTCCCTTCTCGCGCTCGCTGCTCCCTGCTCTCTCTGTCCCTCTTTCCCTGCTTCCCAGCCTTCCTTCCTCTGTTCACCCTCTTGCTCCCTGCCCCTCCCTCTTCCGCCCGTCGCCTCGTGACCTCTGAGGCGAGCGCATGCGCGACGGGCGCCCGGCAGCCCGCCCTCCAGTTCGCGCGCGCCGCCTGCGCCCGTGTCGCCGTGATGGCGCCGCAGGGCGTCGACCGCGTCTGCTCGGTCAGCAAGTCGCCCTCCCACCCCGCTTCCTCCTCGCTCCGCCCTGGCTCCAGGCCATCTCGTCCGCCCTTGCTTGCCCGCCCCCCTTCGTCCTCGCTCCGCCCTCGCTCGCCCGCCCTCCCACCCCCCTTCGTCCTCGCGCTACGTGCTACCGTTATTGCTTTGGCTCAAGGCCATCTCGGACGCGGGCGGAGCCCCGCCGCGGCGCGGTGGGGGCTGCGTGGGGCGCGGCCTGAAGCGCCGCCGTGCGGCCGTGGGCCGCGCGCGGGGGCGTCCAGCCTGGGCGCCGTCGCCGGCCGCCTATGCAGGGGGCCGCGCGCGGGCGCGCCCGGCGGCCAGCGGCTGCGGCGGCCGCAGGCCGAGCGGGAGGCCTGCAACTTGGTTTGCAAAGCCCATGCGGCGGCGATTGCGATGAGTGCTTGGCGTTAGCTGGTGCATCTCTGCGGCCGCGCGAGCCCGCGCGTGCTCGCGCGCGCAGCGACCTCCGAGCGCGGCGCGACCGACGCGGCCGCGGTGGCGCTGTCCGCCGGGCACTTCCCAGCGGGCACCTCAGTGCGAATCGGTGACTTGGGCGGGCGCGGTATCGTGGCGACGCCGACAGCGGTAGGCGCGATAATGAGAGTGGCGATGATGGAGGCGATGGTGGCGATGACGGCAAAGCCAATGACCGCGCCGATGTTGATCACCCCCGTCGATAACAATGACGATGCCGTCGCGTCAGTGATGGGGGTTTTGGAAAAATTCGACATGCGCGCGCGGCCGACGCTCGCGAGTGGCCCGAGTTGTATGCGCGCGAGAGGCCCGATTAGTGGCATGTGATGATCATGTTGACAAGCCCATGAATCTTCGCATATTCGAGAGCGCGAGCGCTTTTTTTGGTGCGTTTTCCTTGTTCCCAACCATCCTGTGGTGTTGGGTCTTCGTTTTGAAGAGACGGTGCCCCGCGTTCCTCTCCTTCCTCCTCCCTCCTCCTCCGCCTCCTCCCCCCTCCCATCATCATCATCATCATCATCATCATCATCATCATCATCATCGTCATCGTCATCATCGTCATCATCGTCATCGTCATCGTCATCACCATGATCATCATCGACATCATCGACGTCATCATCACCACCACCATCATCATCATCGTCATCGCCATCACCCATGTCGGCACACCTCTCACACGTTTCGTGGCCCCATAGGGAGCTCCACCGAAGGCCCCAGTGCTGCCGCCCGCATGCGCCCCCTACACCCATTTCGGCACACCCCTCACACGTTTCGTGGCCCCATAGGGAGCTCCACCGAAGGCCCCAGTGCTGCCGCCCGCATGCGTCCCCACACCCATTTCGGCACACCCCTCACACGTTTCGTGGCCCCATAGGGAGCTCCACCGAAGGCCCCAGGCTGCCGCCCGCATGCGTCCCCACACCCATTTCGGCACACCCCTCACACGTTTCGTGGCCCCATAGGGAGCTCCACCGAAGGCCCCAGGCTGCCGCCCGCATGCGTCCCCTACACCCATTTCGGCACACCCCTCACACGTTTCGTGGCCCCATAGGGAGCTCCACCGAAGGCCCCAGTGCTGCCGCCCGCATGCGTCCCCACACCCATTTCGGCACACACACCCCTCACACGTTTCGTGGCCCCATAGGGAGCTCCACCGAAGGCCCCAGTGCCGCCGCATGCGGTCCCCACACCCATTTCGGCACACCCCTCACACGTTTCGTGGCCCCATAGGGAGCTCCACCGAAGGCCCCAGTGCTGCCGCCCGCATGCGTCCCCTACACCGATTTCGGCACACCCTCACACGTTTCGTGGCCCCATAGGGAGCTCCACCGAAGGCCCCAGTGCTGCCGCCCGCATGCGTCCCCTACACCGATTTCGGCACACCCCTCACACGTTTCGTGGCTCCATAGGGAGCCCCACCGAAGGCCCCAGTGCTGCCGACCGCATGCGTCCCGTACACCCATTTCGGCACACCCCCTCACACGTTTCATGGCCCCATAGGGAGCTCCACCGAAGGCCCCAGTGCTGCCGCCCGCATGCGTCCCCTACACCGATTTCGGCACACCCTTCGCACGCTTCGTGGCCCCATAGGGAGCTCCATTGAAGGCCCCAGGGCTGCCGCCCGCATGCGTCCCCTACACCCATTTCGGCACACCCCTCACGCGTTTTGTGGCCCCATAGGGAGCTCCACCGAAGGCCCCAGTGCTGCTGCCCGCATGCGTCCCCTACACCCATTTCGGCACACCCCCATCACACGTTTCGTGGCCCCATAAGGTGTGCCGCCGAAGAAGATACTCACAATGGCGGGACCCACGATTGCATATGGTTGGGTCCTTCGCCAGGCTAATTTTTGTTTGTTTGTTGGTTTGTTTTTTTTTGGGGAAAAAGAGATTATA